TCAGTTTGACAGTAGCATTAAGTCATATTTTAAAATATATTCAAAATATCACTTAACTCATTGTTTGGTACAAACCTTTGTCTTTAATTATCTGTCTAAAACATTATTTTGTTTTTCTTTTCGTATTTTAAAGTATCCCATTTGTCATAATGATATGAACAACATACTACCTGGAAGATCACCCACTAATAGAATTAAAATAAATGCAAGGAAATAATTGACAAAATACGCTTATGCAAAAAAAAAACAGGAAAACAGAACAGTTTAACGTGTTTTGTGTTCTAAAACGTCAAAACATTCTAGCAACGAAAACTAAAAGTTTGGGTTTACGATCTAATAATTTTCATATGTTTGCCTATATGAGTTGTAGTAAGACATACTTTTCAAGTGACTGTCACTATCAACACCTCAGTTGGTATACACATAATGATCACAAAACAATTGCTCCAAAACAAATTTTTAGGTTTGGCAAAACAATATTGAAAAAACTGATTGATACTATATGTGACATTGTTCAAAATAAAAATTTCAATATTTGTGATATTGGTACGGGAAATGGTCATGTTATTAACCGACTGGTATGGAACGATAAACATGCATCTCTGAATGGATTCAAATTGACTTTTTGTGTTTCCAGGCTAAACAAGGTTATCAAAAATTGACAGGAATCGATTATTCCGAATCCGCTATTGAATTAGCCAAATCTCAAAATGTTAATTATGCCCATTTAACTCATTTCCAAGTATGTTTGTTACTGCAGCACTTAGTTATAAAATGTCAAAAAGGTGCTGTGAAAAATAAAGTGCTGTTTTCCTCTTGTTTGTGAATTAAAAAGTGACGTATCTGCTAAGATTGTTGTACTCGGTTGCATTTATTTTAGGTGTGTGATATGGTTGATCCCTCAACATTCCCATCTAGTGAATTTGATGTTTGTATTGATAAAGGAACGTTCGATGCGATATTGTTGTCGAAAGAAAATAAAGATAAAAGTCGTCAAACATATATTCAAGTTTTGTATGAACATCTAAAATCAAATGGATTATTTTTTATTGTATCATGCAATTGGACAAAAAATGAATTAATTGAATTCTTTTTAGATAGTACGTATAAACACAGAGAAATTGTAGCCAAATGTTCCCACTAATGCTTAACTTTATTTTTCTTAGAATTTACATTGGAAAAACAGATTGACACTCCAACAATGAGTTTTGGAGGAAAACAAGGAAATACAGTGACATTTCTTGTATTTAGAAAGGCTGAGCATATATAATACGAAAAGAAAAACAAAATAATGTTTTAGACAGATAATTAAAGACAAAGGTTTGTACCAAACAATGAGTTAAGTGATATTTTGAATATATTTTAAAATATGACTTAATGCTACTGTCAAACTGA